TGTATGGGGGAGTATACCAAATAATTTTTCTACATCTGTTTTTTCTATGCTTTCCATTTTCATTTTTTATATAAGTTAGTTTTGGGTTTTTGTAGCCACTCTCTTTTAGAGCCTTATTATAGGAATTGATATGCTCATCGAAAATCTTGTCATTTGCTGAATTTGTACTAATTCGTTTACTGATAGATAACGGTATATGTTTAATTATAGATGTGGAGTGATTTGATTTAGGGTGTATATATAAAGGGTTTGGGTTTTTTATAATGTGTGTATGTATTTTTATTTAGATCTAATGTTATATCTAGGAAGTCCACTTTTTTTTAATTTAGTGCTAACCGTAATTTTTAACCCCATGCTTTTAAATTCTTTATATAAAACCTTTTCTAATTCTATCTATTTTGAAGTTAGTTGAGTTTCTAATAACCATAAGTCCATCGTCTCTTTACAAAGCAATAAAATCATTGACTCATTCTGTCAGATGCAACCTAACTTTAAACAAGATGAAAAAATCATTAAAATATAATTCGCTAGTAGATATCACTTAATAATTCCAAAAAGTATCTTGGATTTATTATAAAAAATGTAAATATTTAATAATTATCTCGTGACCTCAAAATCCCTCATATGTAAAAACAATGTTGGCGTTTTGTTTATGAATTCTTGTGGTTTTTGAGAGATCTCATCTCCAATATAAATAATCAAAAAACAATATTAAATTCAATACATTAGTCACGAAAACATCACTCTCTCTTGTACTACAATATTATGAATGATGTAGTAATAAACTTGCTGCATTCAGAAATGCTCACAATCATTACAAGAGAGTTTTAGAAAATGCATAGTGTAGTTATGCATGAGTAGTCCAAGCCAAGGTTCAAAGCAAACAATTTCGATCCTGGCATCGAAGTTGGAAGATCTCCAACCAAATTCTCAATGAAGGCAAAGCGTCAGTGCCTGCTATCATAAATGGCCCTGTCAGATAAGGCAAAGTACTTTGCCACGATCTTTGCCTCTAACTCCACGTTAAATAACAAAGTCCATCCCCTTCCTGACTTGCCTCGTTTCACAGAACAAAATCTCAGCAAAATTTGTTATCACAACCCGAGGAGTCTCAAGACTTATCAAATGGTTTGACACTAAGAAAGCTGCCGGTCCAAATAAAATCCCTTTTTATTTTTTTTATTTTTTTTTTTATCCCGTGACCCGTAGGATCGTATGGAGCGCCATACGTAGTGCAGCCACAGTAGAAGTTGTGTTTCTTGGGCAAGAGAGCCTAACAGAGCCCAATCCTCTCCAGGACGGTTTTGAATTCAGAGTTACCACCCAAGCTTATAGAATACAGTCTGACCTGCTATTTACCCATAGCTGGAGAGAGAAGAGGATTCATACATTTCTCGAGTGTATTAGCAGTTAAGTGAATGTAATGGATCCGACTGGAATTCGAACTCAGCTCTTCGATTCCTCAGTCTGAGCCGCTATCCATTACTCCTCCGATTAAAATTCCAGTTATTGACAACCCAGTGTTTTTCCTTAAGAATATTGAGTTATCTCCGATCTTAGCAACAAAAAAAACCGCTACTTGAATGTGAAATCCTCCCCAAATCTGTGGAAGCTGTCAAGTGTTTGCCCTGTTTTCAAAAATGCGGGTGAGCGCTCATCCTCGTCTTAGCATAGGCCTATCAATCTCTTCCTTCAACAAACTTTTTAAAGCTATAATCAACAAGAGGGTTGTTGATAACCTCAATAGTGACAATCACCTTAGCGACAAGTAGTACGGATTTCAATCGGCTCGGTCCACTGCTGATATACCGTCATTACTCACAGAATCAGTGAGGTACTTGACAATAAAGGAATTGATAAAGGAAGATCGCATTAGATATTTCACAAGCCTTTCACAAGGTGTGACATTGAAGGTTACTACTGCAGCAGTACTTTAGCTATGCAATCTCTGGAAGTCTTCACAGTTATCAATTCCTTCTTCATGAGTAGGACCCTTAAGATAGTAGTTGTTAACGGGCAGTCTTCCAAGGCCCAAGCGATCGACACAGGCATCCTCCAAGGCTCGCTACGCGCACCAACTCTCTTTATGTAACTGCCATCCTATTTATTCTTTTTTACTCTGCTGCTATTGAGAAATTCAGAAGGCTGTACTATTCCATGAATCGTGGAACAGATTATTATTATTTTCACCCCTCCCCAAAAGTCCCAAAGTAGACTAGAATGTCAAAAATAAATTAAACAGAGCATGTATCAATGTCCTGTGGGCCGATGGTCGGCATTCTAAAATAACTTATCTGGAAGTAATTTCTAAGACGTAACTTAACTGAAAACCCAAATACAGGACTTGTTGAACGGTTTCTCAGAACGGTATCTGTCATTTTAAATTTTAGGTTGAATTTTTAATGGATATCTCGTCTTATACTAAGTTAAAACCGTTTTTAATAGGAGTAGATAGGCATTCCTATCGCCCAGTCCATACTCCTACCCGTTCTCTTGAACAGGAATAAAGGCTCATCCTTTGTTTCCAGGTGTTTAGGAAGGCGTTATCGATTCCTTTCTTCTTCCGAGGCCTTAATGTTGGTGGCGGCATATTACGGTGTTCCTGCAGCCCCGAGGCCACATTATGCTGCAATCTATGCCAATTCGCCGCCTGTACATATTTCCTTAGACGACTACTACTATTCTCGGCCTTTTCCTAATCTAAATAGCACACCATGACTATGAACAACCAATGAAATAATACGAAACCAACTCGACGAGAAACGCCTAAACCCCTCAACTTTTATTTCGCCAAAATTTGCGGTATTCGTGACAACTTCTACAGTGTGGAATTGATCCTCTTCAGACATCCAAGCCAAAGACCAGAACAACAAAAAACAAGGAATTCAAAATAAAATATGCCAAAATTTATTTTTGACAAATTAACAGTACAAATCAGGAAAGGAAATGGAAATTGCTAAAGTTGAATAGAGTACCGTAGAAAACAAATGTAAGCAGATTCGGAACTCGAAATCTAGTAATGAAATAATGTTCAAGGTAGATTGGACAAAAAAAATGCTGACGAGGAGACCGAAACGAATAGTGATTTAAACAAAATCAATTTGGTATACAGAGAAGAAGGCTGATAGGAGGATGTGTATATTACCAACCGGAAGAAATGAGTCATACAAAATAGAAACCAGAAATGTTGACGGGAAGTAAAAAAAATGCTAAATCAGTTGCGAATATAACCATAGTAACCAGAACAGTCTATGTTCGAAAGGTAGGTAAACCCAGTTGACATGCGTAGAAGTAATCAAGAACGGCCGATGTTCAAGGACGATAAACTGGGTTAGTAGACATGCGCAGAAGTCTAGAAGATGATAAACTGAGACAACGACAGGCGCAGAAGAAGCCTAGAACAGTTTATGTTCGAAGAAGTTAACCTGGTCAGCAGATAGGCGCGTGAAATATCTGCAACAGTCGATTTTCGAAGAAAGTCAAGCTATGTGCGTTAAAAAAGAAATATATCCGCCAGTGACGATCATTGGGCGTACAAAATGCCAATGTGTTCGGGAGAGGATTGGTATACGAGCATTACAATTGCTCTGGGAGTAAGATGCCGAAGAATTCAGGAGAAAATTTCTATTGCGACAAGAAATGACTGCTATGCGTCGTAGATGCTAGAAACGTTGGTTGTACGCAGAAGATATTGAGGCCATTGATGAGCGCAAAAAATCCCGGAGTGTGTGCAGGGATTGTGGACAAACGCTGAAGGTACCGAAACGAGATGTCATGGTTGTGAATGAAGGTAAATCTGAGAAACGCTGTCAGTGGAGGTCGAGCGCTGAGAGTGCACAATACCGTTGAGAAGAGCTGGAGACACCGGAACGAGAGGTCGTGAGATGGCCCACGTATTGAGAGGAAAGAAATCGAATTTACTCTTAAAAAGAGTAATGGTAAATTGTAGACCATGTATTCAGGGAAAATACAGTGTCTTAGTCCTGAAAAGGATTCTCAAGGCACAGGTTAGCACGTCCACTACGACAATAGTTCGCACTCGTTACCTGGCAGTCCGCGGGCCGCACATGGGTTCAGCTGATACAGCAGGATCCCGGAGCAACCCGTGGGACATACCGGTTAAAGACGACCTACTGTTAAAAGCAGAAAATCTCACGGTAACCCGGCGAAAAATAATAGGTATCTTCAAGATTCCTGTCGGGGATATGGGAAGACGGCATCATACTATTCTGAAGAATAGAATCACTAAACAACCCAAAGCTCTCCTCTAGATAAAAGTGCATCAACTGCGTAAGCAGGGTCACTGTATAGCATAGAGAGAAAACCTCTCCTCGGAAGAATTTACCTTTGACTCCCCACTGAAACGTTTGTTTTAACGTGGGGACTCGTGTCCCACTCGGGTCACTGGTCAAATCTGGTCATAGTTTGTCTAAGCTAGTTATACCACCGGTACGGAATGGATGTTACGGAACAATCCGACGATTCTATCCACAGGCAGCGGAGAAGAAAACAGCCACCGACGTGAACAGACACTACAACAGCAGCATCTGTTCCAACAGAAAAAAACTTATACTCTGAGGTATTTACTTTAGACTCCCCACTTTACTCAAGATTACAAACTATACTACGAAAAGGACAGATGTAGCATGTATATTAAGCATCCATAATCAAATTTCTTATAAAATGTTGTAGTGAATCATTAAATCTAAATCACTGTTTAAGGTCGCATAGAAAGGGATTTTACAGAAACGGTACGCTACAACAACACGGGCAAGGTCACGAAAAATATACCGTCAGCCATGATACGACAAAAAATACATACATTCATAAACATATATGTTTATGAATATATATGTATATATATGTATATATACTTTTCTGTTGCACTTAAGACCCGTTAATTTTTGGAGATTCGAAATCAAGCGTCATCTTTCCTTGAGTTCAGAATGCCATAACTTTTTCCCCAGTTACCGAGTTTTTCTGCATTAGTATTTGAAGGCTTACGGTCATATCACGTTGCAACACCGGCTCCTGTACGATCACCGAAGTTAAGCAACTTGGAAGGTAAGCGAGCCTGGTAAGTACCTTGATGGGTGACCGCTTGGAGATTCTTAGGGCTGGAAGCGTGCATGACCGAGTTGTGTAATAATGTCTCGGAATTGTTAATCGCTGAGCTGAGTTCCAATTTCATTTGGGTTTCTCATATTCACTTACGCGAAAATACTCTTGAGGAAATTATGAATCCACGTTTTCTTCCTCTAAATATGGGTAAGGCTTTATCAATAAATCATTATTTTCCCCCAAAAGATTTTTACAATCTAAAATATTTTCTGGTTTTAAATTTCTGTATATCTTTTGTACGACTATTTTTTAATTTGTCTTGCATTCTAGTGTTTTTGTTTAAGTAACGTTTTATATATTTAAAAGAAAAACATTAATTTTTGGGGAGCTTTTAAATCTCGTAATGTATATAATGTTTATATACCTACATTATATATCTTCCAAAGTTTATCAGAGCCAGGAGTGATAGTGGGAACAATCTCATAGTGTCTATAAAATGCTTCCGTGGCATACGTCTCAAATAACCTCTGACAACTATTCAGTTCCAAGGATGAAGGTAGACAACTGGTACCTCATAAACAGCTGTTTGGGTAGATGTAACACAACAGCCCAGCTATGCAGTCCATCTAATGGAAGAAAATCCCTGATTTTAAACCTCCGTGGCCTTGCAGTCATATCCAAACACGGTATGGAAATAACTCCAAACAGAAAACCCGGAGTGAAGCCCCGAAACCGGGTGGCTGTCAATACTAACAACTTTTCGGTAACTCCTGCAACCAAGCTGGCCCCATATGCAATGTCCTATATTCTTTTGAATCTTATCGGTATGGTCGAGAAAAGAGAATGGCATGTAGTCTGGGAAACGCACGACCTCCATATGCCTGCACCCTGAATAGGACACTATAGTCTCACCATCAAATAACTGAATTTTGACCAAACAGGGCGTTACCTCTATCTCACAAGATAAACGGGCTCCTACTAAACATATATATTTGTGTGTGTGTGTGTGTGCGCGCACGCGCGTGTGTGTGTGTGTATGTAAATATGCGTCTAAATGATTTTATGGTGGACAAGGTAATTATGTATTCTAGTCGAAGTAAGGATTTCGTATTTTTTTTATGACATTTCTATATTCACGTCTAATATTATTAGTAGCACAAACTTCTCACCTCTATATTTTGGCTAAATTTAGCCAAGTATTTATAAATTTTTATACAATCTTGTCTTATTTTCTGGTTTCGATATGAAATTGTTTTGGAAAAGATGTACAGTTCCGCTCATTTTTTGAGTGCTTACAGATAAATACTTTCACTTTACCATGTTATTAATTTTTTGTATTATTTCATGGACATCGTAATTGTACACTTGCATCTTTCGAGCAAAACACGGGTTATTATGTTATCTCGTCGAGGTATAATTTTCTCAGTATGAATATATATATATATATATATATATATATATATATATATATATATATATATATATATATAGAATATATTTGTATGTATATATATATATATATAGAATATATTTATATGTATATATATTTATATATGTATATATATCATATAAAAAATATTTATATATATATATATATATAGAGAATATATTTGTATGTATATATATATATATATATAGAATATATTTATATATGTATATATATTATATATGTATATATATATCATATAAAATATATTTATATATATATATATATATATATATATATATATATATATATATATATATATTTGTGTGTTTGTGTGCGTGTATTTGTGTGTTCGTGTGCGTGTATTTGTGTGTGTGAATTTGCGTGTGGGTCTGTGTGTGCGCGTCTGTGTGTGTAAAAATGATGGAGGGTACGTGTATGTTTTCCGGTGTATGCCGAATATTTTTCGAAATGTATGTCGCTATTGCTCAGAGCTATCTAAACGTTCAAACTATAATTTAGGATATATTCATATTTCTTCTTACAAAATAAGAATGTATTTTACTGATGGGTTTATGAATAATTGAACTCTTATAGAAATTTCCATTGAGCATTAAACTTCTTACTTTTCCTGCTCTTTTTATTATTTTTTTGTTTTTTTTACATTTACATTTTTAACAGGTGTATGTATGCGTGCGTTTATTACCCTTTATTTCTTATCTTATCTCTCTCGATGCAATTTCTTTTATATCAGTATTTTCAATCGGATCAATCAATATAACTAATGATATATATATATATATATATATATATATATATATATATATATATATATATATATATATATATATATTGACAATTAGTGAAATCAACACCGGATAACTTTTTCTACTACCAGAATGATCAAATATTATTCATTATTCTGATTTCTGAAATAATTCGTCCTATAGACATAGACTATAGACAATTAATTATATTGTCATGATAATTTTTCTAATTTCTAGAAGTGGAAACATGGTATCTGTCAAATTTGTAAAAAAAAATCATGCATTTATTTAAGGAAATAATAGGTTTTGAGATGTCCGTTCTCTGAAAAATGGGATGTGATTGAAAACTATAACACGTGTTGACCTAAATCTTGTCAGTGAAATTGGGTAGAGGGACTCTAGGAATCCCCCGATAGTTGTGCTAGCACGAAGTCACAAATTCTCGAGACTGAGTGTTTGAGTTACTGGTTTTGTTCAAACTGATGATCATCACTCTCAGAAACTGTAATTATGTCTATGAAGAATACTTACAATATAAAATACAGCTTGGCGCTCTATGAGTACCGAACGAACATAAATATTCTGCAACAGTGATTGAATAGCAGACGAGTGTGCTTTCGTTGACCGATTAATTTCCGTAAATTAGAATTTAAAATATGAACGAACTGTCGACAGTTCACGTTTGTTATATATTTCGAGCATCCAACTGGATTCATAATTGTCAAGAATTAAAATCCCATGATAACTTTTATTTTAACATTAAATATGATGCATTAATTTTTTTAATTATTGAATATATTTGCTGTCACAGGAATATGATGTTATTTTTTTTTCATTTATGTGTTTGTGATATTATGCGAATATGCTGTTATATGCATGAGAATATGAATACTTTTTAAATTGGATGTTCCGAAATTATTATTATATATTATTTGTAGTTCTTTTTTATTATTTCAGTATCAACATAAAATTTTAAGAAAGAAAAAACACACCCTCTATCTGTGGTGGTCACAGAATGTAATTTGTATAGTACATATGAATAAAATTTACTTTTTAATATTCTTCTTTTGTATACAGTGTCAATTTAGGACGTTTGCGATCTCAAATTCCTATCCTTTGTTAGTATTTTCCTTATCTTCCTCACTCCATGTTCTGACATCCATTTAGATAACCTCGTTAGGTTGGATACTCTGTTACCCTCTGTCCATCCTGTTCCCAATATGTCCTGTGATTGTCAGTTTTTCCAAGCCCTCTTTCCTCATTATATGAAATTTCAACTGTCTCTTTCTAATTCTAAATGTCATCTTCGTTCCCATTTTCCTTAAAACTTTCGTCGATGTTATATTCAACCCAACAATAATAAATTTTGCCAGAATCTTTAGTTCTCTTTAGATTGTCTCGCTGTAAAAGTTGAGTAAATCCACTGAGAAGGCATATGCTTGTTTTATGTCAATTTTTATTTTTATGTATTTACTCAATTCATTTTCCACCCGTATGCAGGCGTTTTTTTTTTCAAATTTTTTCCTGTTATTTATATTAAGTGTATTTACACCAAGTAAAATCAGGATATAAAATGCAAATTCTCAAAATGTGTTGGTTTTATAAAATCTGTAATACCCACATCCCTTCAGACTCTCACTCTTTCGATATGCTTTTCTGCATGCAATATTTTCAAATAATAATTAAAATCGTATTATAAGGAATAATGATTAAAGGATGTGTTTTGATAACCCCGATCTTAACGAAATTATTCAACTGCTGTTTGAAGTGGAGAACCTTCCCAAATCTCTGGATGGTGTCAAGTGTATCGATCCTTCAGTCTTCTCAGTTTCATTAGCAAGCTTTTTGAGGCTATATAGGAACAACCTCTCGAGAAACAAGCAGTATGGGTTTCGATCGGCCCGACTCACTGCGGATGTCCTGTCATTACTCACAGAATCAGTGAGGCACTAGACAACAAATACATTTTAAGGACTATCACATTAGATATTTCAGAGGCCTTTGACAATGTTTTGCATAAAGTATTTCTGCAGAATCTAGGGAATCACTGGAAGAGTTTTCTCAGTTATAAAGTCCTTCATAAAGTGTAGTTTCTGAAGGTAGTTATTAACAGCCAATTCTTCCGAGGTCCTAGCAATCAAGGCAAGCGTCCCACTTTATGAAAATCCGAGGATCAAACCCCTTTCTACTTTTCATAAATTATCTGTCGAACAGTTTGTAAATATCTATGCTGATGATACAACGGTATATGGGCGCACCTCCAAAACTCTAGATGACCAGGTATTGGCAACAGGTCTCTCCTCTGATCTTAGCTGTAACGTCTTAATGGGAAAAAAATCCTTAAAAAAATTCTTGAAAAAACCAATCTAGTTACATTCCACCATCGCCGTTTGGATCCAGAAGTATCAACTTTACTAGAGCGCCTGTTGGGACTCAACCAAAACCTGAAGTGGAAACTCGTACATACGACCTATCGCTAAAAATTACCTAATCCCTCCTGGTATCATCTACCTTTAAAAGAGCCTGATCAGACTAAAAATGGAGTACTGTTGTCATATATGAACAGAAGCTACCCAGTCTTCACTTTCCAGCCTCAATAGTGTCAATACCTTATTAACAAACAAGCTAGCTGTCGAGTATACTAGTACATTTGTGCTCACCTGAAAAGGTTAAATTCTAATATCAATTAAGGTAGCAGGCCAAAGTCATTTACCAAAATAATTGGTCATATTTGTGCAATTGTGCCGCAGAAGTTCAGACGTTGAGAGCACTTCTTATTTAATAATTTATTTATTTATTTCCTTCGTTACTCTGCACTCAAAAAAGAAAGCATATGTATTCATGTAACATCTTATGACGATAGTTCG